GTGAAATAATCACAGAAAAATTACCCAGTTCGGATAAAGAGACATTCAAGTACAGGAAGCAAATAGAACTAACAGACATGAACAGAAAAATTCTTCCCCACACATATTGTAGTTAAAATTCAACAATAAAACAAAGAAAATAGTCTAAAGCATGAGAGAAATGCCAGATTATTTTAGAGGATGTCTAATAAGTATCACAGCTGAATTATCATCAGAAACTCAAAGGGTAGGAGAGAATGGTGAGGTATAGTCCACGTCTTCTCCTCCCCTCTTCAGAAACCTTTTATTTAAGGAAAAGGAGCTTCATACATTTCATAATTACAACTTCAGAAACATGGCTATTCTTTCCACTGTACTGCCCTCTAACCCACTCTCCCACCCCTTTTCCTCCTCCCTCCCCTATTCTCACCTTTATGTTTTTACTAAGATCTATTTTCCTGTTAACTTTGTATGCATATGATTAGCTCTATGTTAAGTAAGGAGTTCAAGAAATAGTATGAATGACAAAAAAAGAACTTTTCTTCAACAGTTAAGACAAGAACTGTTAAAAATACAGTCCACGTTTTAAGAGAAAGAAACTATCAACATAAAATACTGTATCTTGCAAAGCTCTCATTTATTAATGTAGGTGAAACAAAGACCTTCCATAACCATGAGAAACTGAAAGAATTTCTCACCATTCATCCAGCCTACAAAAGATGCTACAAACAGAAACCCAAAATGATAGGACTATGAAAGAATGTGAAAGTAGAAAACCACCCAGTAAAAGTACAAAGCAAATTCAAAGTAAACAATATGAATATTTAGATTAGAAAAATGGGAGGGTCAATCCTTATTTATCAACAGAAACCTTGAATGTAAATAAAATAGATCAAAACAGAAATCAACAAAAACCTCTGGGAATGAATGAAGACAACAATACAACATACCAAAACTTATGGGATACAGCAAAATTAGTGTTAACATAGAAATTTAGAGCAATTGGTGCCTACAGCAAGAAATTGGAACGGCAACAAATAATGAGCTATCAATGCATCACAAGGACCTAGAACGACAACAATAAACCAAACCCAAACTTAGCAGGAGAAAAGAAATAATTAAAATTATTAAAGAAGAAATAAACAAAATTGAAGCCAAATAAATACAACATACATAAAAAATACAACATCCATTCAAGATGAAAACCTTAAGCAAATTGGGTATAGAAGGAATATTCCTCAACGTATTCAAGACAATTTGTAACAAACCCACAGGAAGCATCTTATTGAATGGAGAATAATTGGAATCATTTCAGTAAGACTTGGAACCAGACAAGGATGCCCACTCACACCATTGCTCTTTAATATCGTCTTGAAATTTTTAGCCAGAGCCATTAGGCAAGAAAATGAAATCAAATGTATACAAATTGGAAAGGATGAAGTGAAACTATCCCTATATGCAGATGATTTTATATATAGGGGATACAATAGATTCCAATGAGAGACTACTAGAACTCATAAAAGCATTTGATAGGGGAGGTGCTGTGGGAGAATGGTTAAAGCCTCCGCCTGCAGTGCTGCCATCCCATATGGGCACTGGTTTGAGTCCTAGCTGCTCCACTTCTGATCCAGCTCTCTGCTATGTCCCAGAAAAGCAGTAGAAGATGGCCCAAGTCCTTGGGCCCCGGCACCAGTGTGGGAGATTTGGAAGAGGCTCCTGGCCCTGACTTCAGATCAGCATAGCTCTAGCCATGCAGCCATCTGGGGAATAAACTAATGGATGAAAGACCTTTCTCTTCCTCTCTACCTCTACCTCTTTGTAACTCTGACTTTCAAATAAATGAATAAATCTTTTTTTACAAAAGAGTTTGGGATGCTGGTACCATTGGCTAATCCTCTGCCTGTGGTGCTGGCATTCACTATGGATGCCAGTTCTAGTCTCAGTTGTTCCTCTTCCACCCTAGCTCTTTGCTGTGGCCCTGGAGGACAGTGGAGGATGGCCCAAGTGCTTGAGCTCCTACACCCTCATGGGAGACCGGGAGGAAGCACCTGGCTCCTGGCTTTGGAGCGGTACAGCTCTGGCCGTAGTAGCCATTTGGAAAGTGAATCAATGTAAGGAAGATCTTTCTTTCTGTCTCTCTCTCACTGTCTATAACTCTACCTGTCAAATAAAGAGTTTGGTAAAGTGGCAAGATATAAGATCAACATAGAAATGTCAACATCTTTTAAATACACAGACAATGCCATGGCTGAGAAAGAACTTTTGAGAACAATCCCATTCACAAAAGCTACAAAAGGAATTCAATACCTTGGAATAAATTTAACCAATGATGTAAAGATCTCTTTGATGAAAATTACAAAATATTAAAGTAATAGAAGAAGACATTTCAAAATGGAAAATTCTTCCATTTTCATGAATTGGAAGAAGAAATATCATCAAAATGTCCATACTACCAGAAGCAATTTATAGTCTCAATGTGATTCCCATCAAAACACCAAGGACATTCTTCACAGATGTAGAAAAAACGATGCTGAAAATCATATGGAAATATAGGAGATTCCAAATAGCTAAAGCAATCATATGCAACAAAAACAAAGAGAGAGGCATTAGTTTTCTTTTTTTTTCAGATTTTATATTTTATTTAATTTTTAAAAGATTTTATTTATTTGAAAGGCAGAGTTACGGAGAGGCAGAGAGAGAGAGCAATTCCATCCTCTGGTTCACTCCCCAATTGACTGCAATGACCAGAACTGTGCTGATCTGAAGCCAGGAGCTCCATATGGGTCTCCCACACAGGTGCAGGGGCCCAAGCACTTGGGCCATCGTCCACTGTTTTCCCAGGCCACAGCAGGGAGCTGGATGGGAAGTGGAGCAGCCTGCACTGGAACTGGCGCCCTATGGGATGCTGGTGCTGCAGTGCTGGCCCCCCAAATATCTCTTAAGGAAACAAGTAAGAGGGGATGAAAAAAGCATTCCCTGCCTCTGCCTTCAGGCTGAGCCAGCAGCGCTGGGAGAGGAGGCCCTGGTTGCTGACTCGGCAGAGCCCTGCAGCTGGGATCTAAAAGACCCAGCACAGAACCTGGTGCCAGTGATGGGCAGGGGTGGCGCAGGCACCTGGAGCCTGAGTGCTGGCGGCAGGTCAAGCGCGAACCCCGCTGGGAGCTGGCAGGGGTGCCCAGTGTGGCCCGGACCTTGGTTTCACCCTGCAGCCTTCCCTCAAGGCTCTCTGGGTTCCTGTGAATGGAACAATGCTGTCTCCAAGTCCTCCTGTGACTGGGGGTTTATATCCTGTTAGCCTGGTCCATCTGAGAGGCAGAGGCCTCCCATCTGCAGGTCCCAAGCTCCATTTCCTGAGGGGGCAGCAGCCCCGGTACCTGAGCAGTGGAGACTTGAACTCGGCCACCCCATTGGGGACAGGGGCATCCCAGGCGGTGGCCACACACTCAGGTGTCTCGAGCGCTGGGCCACCATGTGTACCCCCACTCTGATCTGCTTGGGCTGCTCCCTGGGGGACCCCGCGGGACATTTCCTTGTCACCCCTCATGGCCATAGGAGTGCGGAGGAGAACCAGTTAGGGCTGCAGATGGCCCCTTGACTGGCCAGACGGGTGCTGGTCTTCAGGGGGGAAGACACAGGAGCGGGGAGCCCGCCCCCAGTCTCAAAAGGTGGAAGGCATGGGCAGCCTGCACGGCCCCTGTGGTGAGGCCTGTGCACCTCCAGGTGGGGCTATGTGCGGCCCCCGTGGTCCCTTGCACCTTCTCTCACCTGTGTGTCGGCCGGGGCTCCCCGCAGACATCACCCCATCTCCTGTGTTTATCTGGTGGCTCAGCCGTGGACCCCATGGCTGACGGTGACGCAGCTCTGACACACTTGTCCCTGTTCTTGACAGACAAGACCCCAGAGACAGCGGGCGCTCAGCTTAGCGGTTAAAACACTTGCTTTTCTTTCTCCTCCTGAAGATTTGTGTATTTATTTGAAAGGCACAGCTATGCAGAGAGAGGGAAAGAGGTCTTCCATCTGCTGGTTCATTCCCCAAGTGGCGGCAATGGCCAGGGCTGGGCCAGGCCAAAGCCAGGAGCTGGGAGCTCTGTTCGGGTCTCCCATGTGGCTGGTAGAGCCCAGCACTTAGGCCATCCTCCATTGCCTTCCCAGGCACATTAGAAGGGGGCAGGAACGGAAATGGAGCAGCCAGGATGTGAACTGGTGGTGTGACAGGTGGCAGCTTAACCTGCTCTACCACCGTGCTGGCCCTAACACCTGCTAGGACATCTGCATTCTAGGTCCCAGTCCTGGGTCCCCCCAACTCAGCTCCCGGCCGACGCCCACCCTGGGTCCCCCCTGACTCAGCTCTCAGCTGACGCCCACCTTGGGTCCCCCTGACTCAGCTCCTGGCCGACGCCCACCCTGGGTCCCCCCGGACTCAGCTCCCAGCTGACGCCACCTTGGGTCCCCCTGGCTCAGCTCCCTGGGTCCCTCCGACTCAGCTCCCAGCTGACGCCCACCCTGGATCCCCTGACTCAGCTCCCAGTCGACGCCCACCCTGGCTCCCTGCCACCCGCGGGGGAGCCCACGCAGAACTCTGAGCTTCGGCTCCTTCAGCCTTCCCAGGCACCCGGGGGTGACCCAGTGGATTCGAGCTCTGCCTCTCACACTGAGCATGAGCTAAAGAGAACACAAAACTCCAAGAACCAAGGCTGCAGGCCCAGCGCAGAGGATTCCACTTAGATTCCCAAGGGCCTGAGCAGCCTGGCTTTGGGCCATAGCTCCCAAGGTTGGGCGCATTTGCGACTCCCAGCCTGTGCGCGGGCTCGCTGTGCTCTGCCCCAAGCAGAGAGGCGCTCGGGCCCAACGCTAAGTGCACTCTGTTCTTGTTTTGTCTGAACCCCCTCTGCCAGACCCCGCCTGGCCACACCACCCTCCTCTAGCTGGACGTTCCGGCGGCACTGCCCGGCCCCAGCCGAGGGTGCAGGCTGCTCCGCGAAGACACAGAGACGGAGTCGCTCTGCAGCGGGGCAGCGGACATGGCCTGTAAGTTTCTGCGCGCGCCAGGCATGGCTCTGCCGGAACTGGGCCAGCAGATCCCAGAGGCCCTGAAGGGAAGGGGGCTGCCCAGCTCCGGGGCCTGCGGGGGAGGGTCCGCGGGGACATGGCTGCGAGTGCTTGAGCCAGTTACTCAGCCTGTCTGTGCCTCCGCCCGTTCCTCAGCTGCGAATCACAGGAAGTGAGCTTGTAAGGGTCAAAGAGGTGACACGGGGCTGGCACTCAGCCCAAAGGCAGCTCCCCAGCCCACAGGCCATGCCCCTGACCCATAGGCCACGACCCCGGCCCAGGCCACGCCCCCACCCACAGGCTGCTCCCCTGTCCCACAGTGGAGCCCTAGGGTCCAGTGCCAGGCTCTCACTGCTGTCGCCAGCTCCCTGCCAGTCCACACCCTGCGAGGCAGCGGTGACAGTTCAAGTGCCCCTGCCACCCGCACGGGAGACCCGGATGGAGCTCCCAGCTCTCAGCCTCGGCCTGGCCCAGCCCTGGCTACAGGCACTGGAGTGAACCAGTGTGTGAAAGACCCCTCTGTCACTCTGCCTTGCAGAAAGATAAGGTAGGTAAGTGAATGAATACAACTTTAAGGATGTTTAAATCCGTGGACTTAGAACATGCCTGGGCCTCCTTTAATCAGCCGAGGGCCCAGGAGAGAAAGGCCCAAACCCGCGGGGCGGGGCTTGCAGGTGGCCTCTCCCTGGGCCTCCACACCCACGTGCACCCCCACAACAGCCCCCCCCGCAGGGCGAGGACAGTGCATGCTGGGAAAGTGTGTGGACTGCAGGCCGTTTTGCACCCAAATAATCTTTAAGACATTTTCAAGACTTTATTAGACTTGAGCAGCCAAGACAGGGAACCCCTACTGCTGGTTCAGTCCCCAGATGGCCACGGCGATGCCCACGGGGGAGCCCTCCCTGCTGCCCTCCAGGACTCGCCCCAGCCTCATGATGTAGGGTGTTGCTGCCGCAGAGGGGGCCCGTGGCAGCCCCTGCCCTGGGCAGGCGCGCAGGCACCGTCTGCCCGCAGTCACTCAGCATCAAGTTCAGGCCCCCAAATCCCATCGGAATCAGGGGCGCAAGACTCGGGTTGGATTATCCTGGGCTAGAATTCCTCTCCAGCCAGGGACCACGAAACCGGAGTTACTGCTCCTGGGCAGGCAGCTCCATGCAGAGGGAAGCAACACCCCCCCCACACACACACACACATAACTCCGAAGCCTGGGGGGGGGCAGATGCTTTGGGTTTTACTTTTCAGGGCGGGTCCCTTTGGTGTGAGGCTTGGGGGTGACCTTCTGGCTCCAATCTGTCCTCACTGCCATATGGCCACTCTGAGGGGCCAGTGCCTCCCGGGCAAGGACGAGCCCTCAGTGTCAGGGTCACTGCTGGGCCCCCCCTTGGCCCCTACAAGGGGAGGAGTGATGCTGGCATGACACACACACAGCCCCCCAAGCCCAGCCCGCTTCCCGCTGAGCCCCATCTGAGAGGGGGGCTCTGCCTCCTGCCTGTCTCAGCCAGCAAGGTCTGGGACTCAGGTGCCCTCTGGGCAGGACGGTAACCTCCCTACCAGGCCACTCCTGAGTCCACAGTGCTGAGCATATGCACAGAACGATGACCTGACCGTTTTCTGCCAGGACGCACCTCTTACATTTTTCTACGTATTTATTTAAACGGGAGACAGGCAAAGTCAGAGACAGAGACCCCCGCCTGCTAGGTCACTCCCCAGACACCCGCGATGGCCAGGGCCAGGCCAGGCTGAAGCCGGGAGCCAGGAGCTCCATGGAGTCACACGGGTGGTGCAGGGGCCCAGGGTGTGCAAGCACGGGGGCTGGCTGGGGCTGGCTGGACTCAGAGCCAGGACCCGCGGTGCCTTCACTGCTGCAGCCAGTGCCTACCCGCTGCCCCGCAGGTGCCAGGGGATGGCTATGGCTGCCCCGCCCCGGCCCTGCCACTCCGCCTCCTCTGCCAGGCAGGGCAGTGGGGTGGGGGGAGCGCGAGGGGCCACAGGTCTTGTCGGCCTCTCCCCAGCCCCTCCTGGTGCACTGAACTTCAACCGACCCTACCAGAGAAATGCAAGACCCTGGTGGCCCCGGAGATCAGCATCTCGCTGTCCGACGACTTCCTGGACACGCCGACAACCTGGACATGAACGTGGACAACATTGAGACCCCCGACGAGATGGACTCGCTCGAGTTCCTGGGCAACAACAATGAGCTGGAGTGGGAAGGTAAGGGCCACGGGGCTGTCCCAGTCTTGGCCACAGGCACGGGGTGCGGGGTCCGCGGGGGCCACGGAATGGCGCGGGGTTCACGCGCACCTGCACCTGTCGCCACCGTGCGGGTCTTCCCCAAGATCCTCGAAGGGGACCATGGCCCGCGGCCTGCCCGGCTTTTCGAGCGCTTGCTCTGGGCGCTGGGGACGCGGGGGGACACAGCGGGGACGTGGTGGGAGGTGACACGGCTCCGCCCACAGGCGTGGGCAGCCATGACACCGAGGGCAGGGCGGAGTGTGGGTGTGGCTGGCACGGAGCAGGGGGCAGGGATGCTGCTCCAATCCTAGGGAGCCCAGGACGACCCGGCCCCTTGTCCACACTGCCCGGGGGGTGGAAGCTCCGGCCAGGGTAACCGAGTGGGGTCCTTGGAAAGGATGCCCGGCACAGGCCTGGGGGGTGGTGAGGGGTGGAGTGGCCGGGCAGGAGCTAGGGGAGAAGGAGGCAGGCGCAGGTCTCACAACCCCAGTGGCCACAGTGAGGGCTCTGGCGGGAGACGCGGAGCAGGATCGGCCAGGTCTGATGTCCACGCGTGTGGGACAATCTCACGGTCACGGCCAGCGAGGAGGGGCAGGTGGGGGCGGGGCCCAGGGAGGAGCTGGCAGGTGAGGGCGGGTGGGGGCCCAGGGAGGAGCGGGCAGGTGAGGGCGGGGCCCAGGGAGGAAGCAGGAGGGACTTCACTCCAGGATTTCGGAGAGCAGTAAACAGATCCGCTCTGGCAATCGCACTCTTCCTAGGTTTTCATTTGATTTTCTGATTTATTTGAAACGCAAAGTCAGAGAGAGAGAGCGAGCAAGCACGCTCCCATCCACTGGGTCACTCCCCACATGGCCACAACGGTCGGCGCTGGGCCAGGCTGGAGCCAGGAGCAGGAGCAGGAGCTCCATCTGGGTCTCCCACGCGGGTGCAGGGCCCCCGGCACTTGAGCCCTCACCGCTGCCCCCAGGGAGCGCATGGGCAGGGAGCTGGATCCGAATCCAGTCTGACCCAGGATGCCCCTGTCTCAATCCCCTCACCAAACACGGGTCCCGAGGTCCCCACTGGACGCGGCCCCCAGCAGAGCGAGGACGGTGCCCAGCGCTCAGCAGCCGAGCTGAGCCAAAGAGCCCGAGAGCCTGAGAGCCCGAGGCGGGAGCGCTGTGTGCGGGACTCCAGGGCAGGGCAGGCCAGGAGGGCTCCCGCTTCCCCCATCAGATCCTGGGTCCCTCCCCAGCTCTTCTCTGGACTCAGCCTGCATGGGTGGCCCGGGTGCTCCTGGCCAGCACCAGAAGACCCTGATGGCGCTTGCGCGCCCCAGCACGGCAGATCCAGGGGACCCGGATGGCGCTCCCACCCCAACACAGTAGGCACAGGGAACCTGGATGGCGCTCGTGCCCCAGCACGGCAGGCCTGGGGGCCCGGATGGCGCTCCTGCCCTAGCATAGCTGGTCTGGGGAGTGACCGGAAGGGAGCTGGGTCTGACTCCCATGGCACAGCTGTGGACCCCAGTTCCCCCACTGCTGTCAGCAAGGTGGCTCTGCCGAGGGGTGGGGGATTCAGAGTAGCACACCGTGAACCCCCAGACCCTCTGGCTGCTCGCGTCAGTTAAGGGGCAAGAGACCCAGGAAGTGTTAGGAGTCAAATGTCCGGGAGGCACAATCACAGAAGGCTTTCTGGAGGAGTTGGCACTTGAGCCAGGTCCTGTCAGGGCACAGGCGGCCAGGTCGGGAGAAGGAAGGCAGCCGCGAGAGGCCAGCGCATCCAGCCCAGGGGTGCTGCTTCCAGATGACACCCCGGTGGCCCCCGCCAAGAACATGCCTGGGGACAGTGCGGACCTGTTTGGGGACGGCGTGGCAGAGGACAGCGGTGCGGCCAACGGGCGCCTGTGGCTCACGGTCATCATCGGGGAGCAGGAGCACCGCATCGACCTGCACATGATCCAGCTGCACATGAAGGTGGTCACGCACGGAGGTGAGGCCCCCGGGTACCCGTGCTCACCCACGGAGGTTGACCGCTGTACCCGTAGTCACCTCGGAGGTCGGACCCCCCATACCTGTGTTCACCCCGGAGGTTGACCCCCCCCGTACCCGTGGTCACCCCAGAGGTTGGACCCCTGTACCCGTGGTCACCCCGGAGGTCAGACCCCTGTACCTGTGGTCACCCCTGAGGTCGGACCCCTGTACCCGTGATCACCCCAGAGGTCGGACCCCCCCCCGTACCCATGGTCACCCCGGAGGTCGGACCACCCCCTGTACCCGTGGTCACCCCGGAGGTTGGAGGTTGGCCCCCCTGCCGGGCCCGGCAGCCCCTCCGTGCCCCACCACGGCAGCGGGTGGAGCCTGCATGGCCCTCGGCCGCCTCTCCCCAGGCAACCACGGCGAGGGCCTCAACGCCATCATCGTCTTCACCTCCTGCTTCCTCCCCAACAGCAGCTGCGCTGACTACCACTGTGTCATGGAGAACCTGTCCTGTGAGCAGGCGGCGGGGCGGGGTGGGCGGGGCAGGGCAGGCGCGGGGCGTGGCTGCTCACCCAGGCTCTCTGCCCTGCTGGCCCCACTCACCAAGCCTGGGCCTTCCCCTGGACCCCTGTCTCTGCAGCCGCTGCCTCCACCACACATGTCCATCACCAACACTACCATCACCTTCATCATCACCACCAACACTACCGTGAGCACCAACACTACCACCCTGATCCCCATCACACATCTGTCACCACCACCACCACGACCACCACCACACGCCGGTCACACCCGTCACCGCCTCCCACGCCGCAGCCACAGGCCGGGCGCCCACCACATCCACACCCGCAGCCTCCCGGACAGGCTCAGTCCCCGGCCCCAGGTCACAGTTTCATGGGGAGGATGAGTGACAGTTGTCCATCACTGCCACTCTCACTCCTGGACCCCCAGAGTTCCACCCAGCACAGGCGGCCAGCGGGGCGGGGACCCCCAGGTACCTGGTGTGCTGAGCTGGGTTGTCATGTCCATCCCCAAGGCCCGCCCAGAGGGGGCCCGAGGGCCTGGAACACGACCCCTGCCCCAGATCCCTGGACCCTTCCCAGAGCCCCTTGACCCTCCCCAGAGCCTGAGGCCCCCTCCACAGAGTCCGTGGGCCCCCTCCACCAAAGCCCCCCGACCCTTCCCAAAGACCCCCGCCCCTCCCCAGAGCCCGCGGCCCTCTCCTTCAAGCCCCACGCCTTGCCTGAGGGGGGACCCAGATCCCTGAGGCCCATGGGGGAGGCCCGGGCTGGGCGCGGCCACCCTGAACCTGACCCACTGCCCCACGCAGCTAAGTCAACAGCAGCCTGGAGCTCCTGGTGGCCGAGGACTACATGATACTTTTCTGAATGGCGCCACACCTGGCGCAGGATGCTGGGCCTCGGCTGGTGAGGACGTGGGTGTGGGCGCACTGCCTGGGGTGCTCCCCGCTCTGATTCACCCAGGCCCTCAGCTGCCCTTGGCTTGTAGGAAGTTTTTGTTTTCAAGACATACTACAGTGCAGTTATAATCAAAAGTCTGGTACTGACAAAAATGAAAAAGAAAAAAAGAGGTAAAACATTAGACCAATGGAACAGAATAGAAACACCTAAAACAAATCCATGGGCCTCCAACCAACTTAAATTTGACAAAGGAGCTAAAATCAATCCCTGCAGCAAGGTCAGTCTCTACAGCAAATGTTTTGGGACTACTGGGTCTCTACATGCAGAAGTAAGAAATAAGACCCCTACCCTACATCTACACAAAATCCTTCAAAATGGATCAATGTCCTAAACCTAGAGAACTATCAAATTACTAAGGAACATTGGAGAAACTCTGCAAGACATTGGCATAGGGAAACACTTCTTGGAAAAGGCCCTAGAAGCACACACAATCAAAGCCCAAACTGACAAATGGGATTACATCAAGTTGAGAAGCTGTGCACTGCAAAGGAAATACTAAGCAAAGTAAAGAGGCCATTGACAGAATGGGAGAAATTATTTGCAAACTAGGAAAATTATAAAGGATTAACATCCAGAATCTATAAAGAGCTCAATAAACTCGACTACAACAAAACAATCCAGTTAAGAAATGCGCAAATGACTTAAACAGGCATTTTTAAAAGAGGAAATTAAAATGGCCAATAGACACATGAAAAAATTCTCAGGATCACAAGCCATCAGGGAAATGCAAATCAAAACCACAATAAATTTTCAGCACAACCCAGTTAGAATGAGTCTCATACAGAAATCAACAAAAAACAAATGCTGGCAAGCATGTGGGGAAAAGGTACCCTAATCCACTATTAGTGGGAATGTAATCTGGTACAGCCACTTTGGAATACAGTATGGAGATACTTCAGAAATCTGAACAAAGACCTACCACATGACCCAGTCATCTCGCTCCTAGGAATTTACCCAAAGAAAATGAAATCAGCATATGAAAATGTTTTCTGTAACTGCATGTTCATTACAGCTCAGTTCACAATTGATAAGATCTCCCTGATCTGTGGTAACTAATAGAGCACCTAACAGGTAATCTACAGAAGTGAAATGACACTGTGATAGGCTATGATTTTGAACAGCCCTTATCTTAACTGTTGAACAAGTTTTTTTATATTGTTTATTGAGCTGTTTTGTTTCTTTTGCTCTTGCTGAGTTTCTTGAACTCCTGTAGAATTAATCTTATGTGTATAAAGTTAACTGAACAGATCTTTGTAAAAAATAAGAATGGGAATAGGAGAGGGAGGAGGAAGAAGGGTGGGAGTGCAGTTGGGAGAGTAGAGTGGGAAAGACCACGATGTTCCTAAATTTGTACTTATGAAATGTGTGAAATTTTATGCATTAAAAAAGGTTTCTAGGTAGAATATGTTACATTCTTTTTAATTTAAAAATATTTGTTTAACCGGGAGACAAAGAAAGAAACAGAGAACTCCCATCTCCTGGTTCACCTCCTACATGGCTTCAGTAGCCAAGTGAGAGGTTAAAACCAGGAGCTAGAAACTGAATCCAGGTCTGTTCTGTAGGTGGTAAGAACCCAGTTACTTGAGTGATGATGGATTAATCCCATGGTCTACATTAGCAAGAAATTGCAGTCAGGAGTTAGAGAAGACTCAAACTGAGGCACTCTGATGTGGGGGTATAACCTCTTAACCAGTGTCTTAACTACTAAGCCAAATGTCTGCTCCAATAGGAGGTTTATAACAGAGAAATCACCTATATCCTGGCTGCACTTTAACATTTATTTATATATATTCATATATATATATACAGTTATTCATATATATGTATATATATATATATCCATATCCATTTCCAGATAAGCTGCTTTATTTTGTGGTAATCACTGGAGATCTCAACAATAAATTCCAACGGTTCCTTTTGATACTGTTTTCAAAAAGGTGTACAGAATAAGAAGTGTAAGCATTTTGTTTCATCCAACATATTATTATAACAACTTAATTCAACTTTATTTTTAAAGTGCTTTATTAAGATTATAAGTAGTTCACAGATATAATTCTTAGATCCTTTCTGCTCTCAACTTTATAACTTCTTCAATGACATTTTTAATTTACTTTATAATCATAGGCTTAATGTTCCACTGAATAAAGGGATGAACAAATTAAAAGTAGAAAGAACAATGTTCAAAAGGCATACAGAAAATTCTTGTAAATAATAAAATGCCAAGACATAAATTTCCAACATACATATTTTAGCTTTGTACTATATATATTAGCTACCACAAATCAGAAAAAAATGTGCTATTTATCTTTTTGAGTCTGGCTTACTTCACTGAGCATTATGGTGTCAAATGACATCCACTTTGTGGCAAAAGATAGGATTTCAGTCTTTTTATGGATGAGTAGCCATCCTTCTTGTATACAAACATTTTCTTTATCCAGTCATCTGTTGATGGACACTGGGGTAGATTCCATATCTTATGTATTGTAAATTGAGCTGCTATAAACATGATAGGTACACATACCTCTTCTATATGCTTCATTTCCTTTGAGTATATTCCCTGGAGTGAGATGGCTTGGTCATATGATAGATTTATTTTTAGATTTCTGAGGAATCTCCATAAAGTCTTCCTTATAGGTTGTACCAGTTTACACTGCCACCAGTGTTTGTTAGTGTATCTTTTTCTCCACATCCTCAGCAGCATTTATTATTTTTGGGTGATAGCCATTGTGACTGGGGTGAAGTGACAACTCATTGTTTCTCTTTGCATTTCCTTGATGGCTAGTGATCCTGAGAACTTTTTATCTCTGTTGGCCATTTGTTTTTAAGCCTTTAAAAATGCCTATTCATGCCTTTGGCCATTTAACTTATTGCTCGTTTTGTTGTTTTCTTGAGCTCCTTATGTATTTTGTATATTTACCTTTATTAGATGCATAGTTTGCGATATTTTCTTCGATTCTGTCTGTTATTTATTCACTATGTTGATTGCTTCCTTGGCTGTGCAGAAGCTTCTAAGCTTGATGTAATCCCATTGGTCCCTTCTTTTGTTTTTATTGCCTGTGCTTCTTGGGTCTTATCCTGAAGTCTTTGTCAATACCAATGTCTTGCAGTGTTTATATATATATATATATATATATATATATAATGATTTAATTATTTATTTGAAAGTCAGAGTTACAGAGAGGGAGGAAGGGTTAGAGGAGGAAAGAGGAGAGAGAATGAGAGAGTGTGAGAGAGATAGTATCTTCCATCTACTGATTCACTCTTCGGTGGTAGCAAAGGTCAGGGCTGAACCAATTACAAGCTAGGATCCAGGATCTACATCTGAGTCTCCCACATGGGTGGGAGGAGCCCAAACACTTTTGCCACCTTCTACTAGTTTTTGTAGGCCATTAGCAGCAAGCTGGATCAGAAGTGGAGCAGCCAAGACATGAACCAATGCATATATAGGATACTGGGATTGCAGGCAGTGTTTTTATCTGTTACACCATGATACCGGTCCTTATGTTATATTTTTAACATTGCTCTTACAGGA